GAAACAGAAAGATTCCGCAAGGGCATAAAGTAAGAGTATATTATGATGTTATACGTGCATCTAGATGTATTATTCGCCTCTGTGATCGAGAGACATTGAGACAGAGAGACGTATACACACACACACACACACACACACACACACATACACACACACAGTCATCCCTACACACCGTCTGACATTCCTACAGACAGACAGACAGACAGACAGAGGGAAAGAGAGAGAAAGAAAGAAAGAGAAAGAGAGAGAGAGAGAGAGAGAGAGAGAGAGAGAGAGAGAGAGAGAGAGAGAGAGAGAGAGAGAGAGGGAGGGAGGGAGGGGGGATAAAAGAAGAGACCGGGAGAGACCAGAATAACGACTGAGAGATGCAAAGGACTTATGTCAAAATCAAAACAGAGAACAAGAACTAGATCTAGTACAACAGGCGCTTTTCTGACGAATTGAAGTAGAAACCTATCCATCCTTTTCTCTTTTTTCTTCATATTCTTTCGCTCCATCCCCCGTCCCCCCTCCCCCACCCCCCTCCTACACACACACACACACACACACACACACACACATACACACACACACATACACACACACACACACACACACACACACACATACACACTTCCTTCTGTTTTTAACCTCTCCCATTCTACGTTCCATGTTGATGGTATTCCTGCCATTCAAATAATCAATCTGCCAAAGCCATTTACCTTTAACTCAAACATAAAGTTTTCCAAATACAATATTATTTTCCCAAAGTAAATTCACTTGTTTTCAACATGTGGGCAAAAGCATTGCTTTCACTTCATTACTTTGGTCAGTGTGATTTTTTAAAAAATACCTTTAAAACTGACGGGCAGTACAGCCTTTACAATGAAAATTGAGTGGGAATGGATGAGTTAACAGCTGTGGAGTGTTCGATACGTCACTAAAATAGGCTCTGATGGAGCAGTTTTGTCCATAATAATTAAGTATTTTGTTTTTTCAGATCGTTGAAACCTTCAGAAGTACACACTAGAAACAACTAGTTTGTTGATAGAAATAATTAAATTCGTATACACTACTCGCTTAACCGCAACTTTCGGTACCGGACATTCTTTCCGATCAATACAAAACGTACTTCAAATATTAACGTAAACTGCAACCCCCCCCCCCCCCCCCACCCCCAACTCTCACTCTCTGTCTGTCTGCCTGTCTGTCTTTCTCTCAATCTCTCTCTCTCTCTCTCTCTCTCTCTCTCTCTCTCGCTCTCTCTCTCTCTCCGCTCTCTCTCTCTCTCTTTCTCATTCTATTTCATTCCCTCTCTCTTTCTCGTTCTGTTTCATTCCTTCCCCTTTATCTTTCTTTCTCTCTCTCTCTCTCTCTCTCTCTCTCTCTCTCTCTCTCTCTCTCTCTTCCTCTCTCCCCCTCTCTCTCCACTTCTCTCTTCTTTTCTCTTTCTCTCTCCTCTATATCTCCCTCTCTCTCTCTCACTTTGTCTCCCCCTCTCTGTCTCTGTCTCTCTCTCCCCCCCTCTCTCTGTCTCTGTCTCTGTCTCTGTCTCTCTCTCTCTCTCTCTCTCTCTCTCTCTCTCTCTCTCTCTCTCTCTCTCTTTCTCCCCTCTCTCACTAACTCTCTTTATTTCCCTCTCCCACAACCAAGCCTCATACTTTTAAGATTGGTCTTAAACTTACTTGCAGCATTGTTGCCTCGGATGTAGCCGAAGAGTTTCCAGAACATGCTTGATCTTTGTCTCCTATTAAGATCTTGGGTATCGCTGGTAATGGAGGTACTGACCCAGGCATTCTGTGATACGTACGTGCGGATTTCGTAGCCCTCTCGTGTCTGCAAAGGGAGATGACACAATGTTAAGCGAGCGTTTATATTTAAGAAGCATGGTTATTGCCCCTCATTTCTTTCCATTCGCCAGTCTGACGTGGCGCTTCTGTTTGGTTAGGGTTTTACGGTGTTCGCAACTGCATCAGGTCATTTGAGCACGCTTGACACAGTTCTTTCACAATGACGTGGTTTTAAGGTTTAAAATCTGATAGGTCTTTTGGCTTTGTAAATTTTGAAGCAGATTCTCGTAATTAAGCATAAATAACAAATGCCATTTTTAACGTAAGGGACAATTGCCGAAGAAAAATTTCACCAGTTTTTCCCCCTCGAAAACGCTTCCTACCCAATCATCCTCAACATAGCACAAATGCCTATGAAAGGGCAAATATGTAAATGCTCTTTACTTCTATTGTTTGGGGAATTTTGTGTCTCTTTGTGCGTGTGTTTGGGGGTGTGGGTGTGTGAAAAGGTAGCAACTCCCTGAGGATATAGCAAAGTCACCGAGGAGGGGAGAGGGGGGCGATTACATCTGAAATAGAGCATTGGTCTCTTAAAAGAACAGGAACATTTGCAAAGTATTGGAGGGGTACGGGGAATTCTATAATGCAAACAATTAAACACAATATAATAATATGACAGAGACAGACGGACAGAGAGCGAGCGAGAGAGAGAGAGAGAGAGAGAGAGAGAGAGAGAGAGAGAGAGAGAGAGACAGAGACAGAGACAGAGACAGAGAGAGAGAAGGAGAGGGAGAGACACAGAAAGTGACAGAGACAGAGACAGAGAGATGGATAGTTGTGGTAAGGGGCAAATTTCTTGTTTATTTTACGAACAATTCAAAACCAATTAATATGGTATAATGAGTACGGATAAGTTCTTCAGCTTGCTACACACGCACATACCTCAGTAGTAAACAGAGGACAGTCAAATCTCTTGCAGAACGCAGGTTTGGTCGGGGTCTGAGCCAGTGCAACCACACCGAGGCAGGCGAGAACAGCAACGGTTGTCCAGTGGGAAGCCATGACTGGTTTCTTCGGTTGTAGAAACTGTGAACATAACGCCAATGTGTTGTCATGTCTCTCAGACGAAATCATGGCGGAAACCTTTGAGGATTTTCACGTTATAAGACTTGTTTACTAACTGGACTTACTTAAATCTTTTAAAAAGCTGTTTTGTTCAGTAGGCAACGCAAGGGAAAATTATGAGGCACTTATATTAAACGAATGAGAAATTTTACAAAAGCAACATAAAAAAGTATATTATATGATAATGTGTGTGTGTATGCGCGTGTGTGTGTGTATGTGTGTGTGTTTGGGTGTGTTTTTGTGTGTGTTTTTTGTGTGGACATTTGATTGCATTATAGGTTTGTATATCTTTTTCTTCACAAAACCTCTTAGTTTTGGTAATCATATTCAGATGATAATGCCTTCAGCAGGTACCATACCTGAAGAGTGTAGCAGATTTTCTATAGCTAAGAGTTATAGAGTGTACTGGTGGTCACCGCGGCAAACAGGAGATAATATGAATAACGCTTTGAATTAAACCTTCTGTGTTAAACTGAGGCCTGGAAAGCCCTGATTTAATAATTCATTTATTGTTTCTTGACTCGAGATCTTTGAGTTTGAGGAGTTTTAAGTGCTTGGCATACTGTTTTCGTTTTGAGATAAAGAGACATTTTAGACTGCTATTTACTTTTTACCGAACACTATACCAACCTGCGCAACAATGCGCTCTTAATGCTGATTTGTTTTGACACTTAAATGCGTGTCATCTATGCTACACGACATTTTTCTTCGATTTTTTTTTCAATTAAAATATAAATTTAAAAAACAACTAATTCCATTCGAGATAACAAGGTACAATGTGACTTACCTTGCGTTTCGGAAGTTGCAGTTCGGGAGTTGAAGTTGTAGGCTTTGTTTGCAGCCTGTGATGTGTCTGGAATAGCTGGCAAGTTGATGGTGGTTTGTAAGTCAAACTCACATTGTTTATATAGTGAGAGTGATGTAGGCCTGGTTATTCTATTTTTGAGTCACGTTTCTCTTGATGCCTTAACCCCCCCCCCTCTCCCCCACCCCCCTCGTCCCTAACTATCCCCCTCTTTGTTTTAGCTTTCTTATTTTTCTTTTATTAGGATCTAAAGGTCCAAAAACTGGACGTCATGCAACGAAAGATAGAACGAAGGCATTCAGGTGTAACGACGTCACTGCAAAAGTTATATAAATGAGACCCTTCTCCGCGGTCCAGAAGAAAATCGCTCTAAATTGCCCCCAAAATGTAAAAACTCGTTGAGCCCATATAGCACAGGTTGATAGCCTGTTTGGATATTTCTTATTTGATCGACTACGTATGAACCAGGTTCAGTGTTGGCCAAAACTCAGCTTCTGAACCCCATTCTCCCAACGTGGTTCAGCCGACTGCCTTCTTCAAATGTAAGAGATCTGCTGAGATGCAATGTCCATACAGCTTAAAGTAATGCGGCTTTTTCTGTTGGAAAAAATAGAAGAAAAACGCAATTTACTTTAAGCTAAACTGCCTTCGAAATGTCAATTAAAACATTAATTATTCTCTCTTACAGGAGCTTAAACGCCGCTCAAAGGCAAAGCACAAAAAGTTTTCCATGGTGTGGTGAGGTATGGGTTTTGGTTCTTTTTCACCAAGGTAAAATTATACTGTATGTTGACAAAGGAGTTAAGATTGAAGAAGGAAGAACGAAAGTGTATACGCCAATAGCAAAAGCCACGCAGTCCTCTATGTATACATAGAAGCTCATCCAGGCTGTTCTGACATTGCAGGAGTTTTATCACATGCAAGTGGGTAATGGGTCCAATTAATGTTAGATCCATCTCTCTGACAGAAACGACAAAATTGATCATAACTTCAACTGAGGCAAAGAAATAAGAAACCTGCCAAAACGTCTACTATCTTTATCTCAAGTGAACAATAAACCTGTTTGACATGAAGGTCTATATACGAATGATGGTACAACTGGCAGTTGTCATAGCCACGTAGCTTTAGTTTAAGACCACTGTATGGTCCAATAATTTACAATGTCTTAAAAAATGTGAAACAGTGGTAATGCTTGTCATTGCTTACGACATGACATATTCAGATAGATAAACAGGTAAATAGATGGAACGTTAAACAAATACAGATCGATCGATCGATAGATAGATAGATTAACCGACTGAGCGACAAAAAAATAATACAGACATATAGATAGACAGATTCAAAAATTGTCTAACACGGAACCCACAAGCCTTAAAAAGACGATTTTTAAAATGTTGATATTACTTGTTCCCCAAAGTGTTGTGGTGTGTCTCCACAACCGGGCATGGTCAATGGTCACAACAACGTGGACAGAAACGTGCCGCGGCTGTACAGGTGACTTTTGCTGCGACCGAGGTCAAGAAATGACAGCCTAATTACCATATCCATCTCAGAAACGTAGTAGTGTGTCTGAGTGTTGTGAAAGTAAGCGGCTTCGTCTAGCGACCAGGATGTCCCAAGAGTGAGCCAAACTCTCATAATACTTATAAAACGTAGTCATTCCCTTGGCCTTAGGAAACGACCGTCACTCGAAAACAAGTTCCCTTGGCGACATTTTGTATGAGTTGAAGGTCAACTGTTACTGGGGACGTTCTATTTCAGAAGTTTTCTGTAACCTCGTGAAGCTGCTTTCTCTCTCTCTCTCTCTCTCTCTCTCTCTCTCTCTCTCTCTCTCTCTCTCTCAATCTGCCTGTTTTTGGCGCTGTGTGATCGTGATCAACGTGTGGAAGATCGAAGTTCAACTCCAAGTATGGATCGTAATTGACCCGTCTTTCTTTGTATGTTTTCCTGCAGGACGGTGTCCTATTACGATACAGAACTTGGCCATCGAACAGACCTAATCTGATTGAAAATACATGCAGTTTATACTAACTTCAAATCGATTTGGGTTAATTATGGGGCAGAGGTGCCTCAAATCTGCCAGAATGGGGAAATCCAGGCAGTGTAGGTGTATTATGATGTCACAGAAAAATCGAGGTACCCTGTAAACAGCCCCCCCCCCCCCGCTCACCCGCTTGGGGGAATCAAGCTCATTGTCTTTTATTTTATGGCTACCCTCGCAGAGAAAGCGAAGATTATGTGGCGAAATCATCAAAACAATATTATTTGTCGAGGTGATTTAGGAGAACATGTCCTACCTTTGATGTGTTGGATAATCCGGACTGATCCATTGCTAATCGTTTCTTTTAGGTCCTTTGGAAGAGCCTCTTAGGAGCGACTCTGTATTGCTTTTTGAATTAAGCCTCATTGAACTAGACAGCATGTCTCTTACTATTCTGTATTGGTAGCCGTCGATCAGGACTCATGGTTTGTTTCTTCTCGACACGTTTTGATTTATGAGTAGACAAGAAGCAAGATACTTTCGAACAGATGCTTCATCCCCTCATAAATTCTTGTGTTAACTTCAATTCACCATCAACCCTGATGCCGTCCACCTTCGTGGTATAGGCAGATTCAAAGTTTGGAACTCGGTCCACAGTACGGAGACATAATTTATTCAGAATGTAGAATCTACCATGTCATAAAGTGAGGTCGGCAGCTACTTTGAGTTTTCAATTTCCGCATGCACGCCAGATGCGGAAAAGGCTTGTATTCATACCTTAGCAGACAGTGTTTTAAAAAATTAGATCTCCAATAATGCCCCCTTTTCACCATAAGTTTAGAACAGAAATGAAATTTTGGTTAAACTGCACCTGGAGCAAAAAAGGCTTGAGTTGAAAATAAGTATAGCAAACAAAAAAGTATTTGGAGACCTTTTCCATGTATTCAGACAAAGCTGCGAAGAACACACGACCTGTTTACTGCTAACATTCATAAAGAGCTGACACTAGAAGAATTTATGGGAAAATTTTGTTTTAAAATGCTACCAGTCTGAACATTCATAGAGGAAAATATTGAGTCTATTTTCATTCATCATTCTATCTTAACCTGTAAGCCCACACTACGACAAAACATTGGGCCAACTGTTTTGCGGATGAGTTGTTGACAAGGAAAATAAGAGAAGCACAACTAAATGATTGTTTCCTGTTAGGGCGGAAGGCTTATCTTATGTTTATTGTCCGCATCTTACTGACAAAACCGCTGAAGCTGCAAATACAAGACAAAAACATTTGGTATCCCCAGTGTTTTTAACAATAGTGAAAATTCGCCCCCCCCCTCCCTCCTTCCCCGGTCCTGCGTTGCGCATTAACGACACTTGTCTGTTCACGTCTTCCCATTTTTCACCAAACCGGACCTCAGGTGACCATTAACAAAGGTCACGTTTAAGTTTACTTTGCCAGAATGTGGTTGATTTGTCGGATTTGTCTCCCTCTGCTCTTAGGGAAAGACAGGGGTTCTACTACGTCCACGGGCTTGTTGTATTACAATTTGTGTTTTTAAGATATGCGATAATCATAATATTAATGCAGGTCGTTCCTGTAGCCTCCACTCCTGTATAATAAATAATAATACATTTGCAGTACCTTCATCTCAACACCTAATATATGTGAACGAACATGCATTCAAACGATATTTAACAGAAGAAGACATTCATACATGTACTCTTTGGCGTTTATGCACAACACATTAAGATGACATTTCATGAAGTATGCTTCACATGAATAATAAGATTTTGCAAGAGACTTTGTATCCCTCAATCGTCGTGGGAGAGAGAGTTCCAGATTGACTGAGCTAGATAACATAAGGGCTTCGCAGCAAATTATTTACTTCCTTTCCGAGGCGCTCTCATAAAAAAACGCATCTCCTGATCTAAGACATCTTGGTAAAACATACTTTTAACAAAAAAAGCGCATTTCCACCAGGCAAGTGCTTATGCCCTTTATAATAAAAGATAGAAAACGTGCACCATAATTTGGTTCTTACAGTAAGCCTCTCTCTCTCTCTCTCTCTCTCTCTCTCTCTCTCTCTCTCTCTCTCTCTCTCTGTGCCATCGCTATGTCTCCATATACTTGAGCTAATAGTACCACCGAATAAAAAAACCTCACACACACACACACACACACACACACACACACACACACACACACACACACACGCATCGACGTTGATACATCGATGACGACACACAGCCACTTGGTTACAGAACTGTATGAAAAAAATTCTATTCTGAAGCAATATAAAAACGATTGCGTGCATCGGGAATACCGTCAATTGCACATTAAAATTGGCGAACAATTAAATTCGTTTTAGCACTGATTTGAATTTTGATAAAGGGGTTGACTCCCGTAGATGTGCTGGTAATGCGTTCCATACTGAGGGATTGTAATGTGAAAAGGCTCTCCCTTCTAGTCTCTGACTTTTACTTTGAACAGGTTTTCTTTTATTAGCCTTTCTTAAAGGCGGAGATGGTATGTATTCGATGATAGAATAGATATGATGGTGCAACATTGTTAACGCACTAAAACCAAAGGAAAGCTGTCTTGCATTGAACACGTGCTTTCACAACGATCCAGTGCAATGGGATAAATATTGGCGTTACATACTCCTTTAGACTGAGAGGTTGCTTTAAAATTATGCCAGTAGATTGATTCTGGAGTTGCTGCAATCTGTTTATCGTTCCAGTAGAAACATTCACTATAAAAATATAAATGATGTTGCCTAAATACAAGGGGGAGGGGAAGGGAGTTGGAGGGGGCTTAATTTTTAACGCATTTGTGGTCTGGGACAGCAATCGAATAGTAGTTCTGTTACTTGGTGCCAATGGCGTTTTCTTGAAGTGGGAGTAATGTCGTACGTTCTTCCTTTTAGTGATATGATTCTCGCAACATGGTTTCGAGAGCGCTGAAAATTCAAGACGATGTTCGGGTGGGGGAGGGGAGGGGATGCTATAAGAGAACATAAAATATGAAAAGATATTTTTCAATGAGGGTTCATTAACA